GCGTTATCCCCTGATTCTGTGGATAACCGTATTACCGCCTTTGAGTGAGCTGATACCGCTCGCCGCAGCCGAACGACCGAGCGCAGCGAGTCAGTGAGCGAGGAAGCGGAAGAGCGCCCAATACGCAAACCGCCTCTCCCCGCGCGTTCGCCGATTCATTAATGCAGCTGGCAAGACAGAAACACCAAAGTTATTTTCGGGCATTTTTAGGCCAGTTTTAAGTTTTTTCGGTTCCAATTAGCTGAAATTCGAGAAAAATTGATCAAAATTCACTGAAAAATCCCAATTTTTCCAGAACACAAACTAGCAAAATCGCATCTCTTCGACAATCCGACACCACAACCAACTCGCGATATTCCAGATGTTTTAAATTTTGGCGAAGGTCAAAGTTCATCAAAAATCGGCAATTCCGAAAGAAGTCGATCGATTTCGTGCAGTTCTGGTGAGCTTTTTTGAAGCTTTGGTGAGCATTTTTGACTCAAAAACTGTCTGAAAATAGCTGAAAAAACAACCGCCAAATAATTTCAGATTCCTCATCTGACTTTCCCATGACAATGGACCAATTCTTCGCGTCGAGACCCACAACGCCTGTCAACCGTGAAACGCCGGACAAGTTCGATTCGATGGGTAAAAATTGAAAATTTCGATTTTGCATTACTTTGAAAATCCCATTTTCAGTCGGCCAACCACCTAGCCTATTCAACAATTCCAAATCGATGCCCGCCAATCGCTTCCTCACGTCGTCAGGACCCAAAAAGGCGTTTCCAAATGTGAAGAAATCGTCAAAAAGCCATAAATTTGCTCTAAAACGTCCGACGCCGACGAGAATTTTGCCCCCGCGAACGGCTAGAAACGCCGGAATTTCCAAATTCGGAGTGGACTCAGATTTTCATTAGAATTCTAATTATTTTGTTTTTTGTTTTCTCATTTTCTTGAATTCTTTGCCATTCTTCCCTGATCTTGTTACATTTTTCATCTGTTTTCATTCAATTTTCAGCATTTTTTTCCCGATTCCCGACAACAATTTTCGCAGAATCCATGTGACCATTTTTTTTTCGTTTTTTCGAAAAAAAAGTTTTCGAAGGTCTTTTTTGCCTTGTCTCTAATTAATCGGTACCAGTTTTCGCTTTTTTTTTTCTTTTTTTCTAGAAAGAATTAGACACCAAAAACAATAGAATTCCGCAAGGAAAATGTGATCATTGAGGTTTTGAAATGTTTCCCTTTAGGATTTTTTTTTCCATTTTTCATCGAATTTTTCAGCCTTTTCACCCATTTTTTGTTGAAAAAATGCACCAAAAGCGCCCCAGCCATCCTATATAGCCCTATTCTCCATATATAAATCACTCGATTCGATTCGATTCCCCATAGAGAAGACCAGCGGCCTGTCATAAAGTGTCACTCGTTCTCTGCGCTCTCTCCCATCCGCACACTCTCTCACCTCTCTCTCGCTTCTCTAGCCCGCTCTCTTCGTTTCGCCCGATATTTCTCGGGCGATTTGTTTAAAGGCGAAAAAGAGAGAGAAAGCATCATTTTGTGTCCTTTTTCTCGACCATATATATATATATATATCTATTATTATTCGGTTTGAGGCTTTTTGAATTGAAAATTATAGAAAATTGCGATTTAATTGGTCAATTATCTAGAAAATTCCAGGAAAATCGAAAAAGTTTGGTTTTTGTGAAATTCGATTAAAAGACGATTTTTGAGCTAAAATCGCGATTAAGAGCTTAAAAATCACTCAAGAATCACTTTAAAAACTGTTTTTGAGCAACTTTTCGAAAAAAAAAATTTTTTTGAAGAATTTTTTCAAAAATACGATTTTCGGGATATTTTTTGACACTTTTTCCCGAGATTTTGTAGTGTTTTTTCTGCGATTTTCAGCGATTTTAAAAAAATATTTTTCCAATTTTCAACTTTTTTTTCGAAAATTTCGATTTTTTCAGCAATTTTCAGACAACCTTTTTGAATATTTTTTTCATTCAAATTTAATTTTAAAACCTACATTTTTTCCCAAAAAAACCATTGTTGCCCCTTTTTGTCTGCTCTTTCGGCGATTTTTTTGTTGTTTGCTGATTCACCCACTGGCTGCACACGACCCCAAAAAAGCAGTTTTTTCCTGAAATCAATTTTTTTTCCGAAAAAAAAATTCTCCCAAAAATTTGATTTTTTTTCCAGAAAATTCGGAATTCTCATTGAAATTCATCTGAAAATTTGAATTTCCCGCCTTAAAAACCCGAAAATGTTCGCCCGAAAGGGTAAATCGTCGGATGTGCAGGCGAGCATCTCGCGATTCACAGATTTGAATCGCGATTGTGTCAGTCGGGTGAAACATTTGAAAATATTGCTGGATACGTTGACGACGAATGTGAGTTTTCAGATTTTATCGAAATTTCCAGAAAATTCCAGGGTTTTTGGCTTTTTTTGAGCGTAATAGGCTGAAAATGAAGGAGAATGCAAGCGCGCTCCACCGAACTTCTGGGTGAAAAAGCGCGCGAATTTGAAATTTCAAACTTTTAATGTGGGTTTTGAGCCCTTTTTGAGCTGTTTTCATCGATTTTTGACGATTTTTTCCCAAGATAGATGAATAAACCTGAAATTGTTGATTTTTCAGCAAATTTAAGCTGAAAATCTACCAAAATCGGTCAAAAATTCATGAAAAATGAAAATGTTGAATACGGATTTCTACCGACTATTTGCGATCATTTCTAAGCCAATTTTCGGTAAATTTCGAAAAACAACCTTGAATTTCCGTAGAAAATGGTCTAAGATTCATCAAATATTGCTTTGATTTTTGGTAATTTTTGACAATTTTTTTGCCGGATTTTATAGCATTTTTGACCTAGAAATTTGTGAAAAATTGTCAATTTTAACGATTTCATCGGAAGTTCCATGTTTTTTGGCTTTTTTTGAGCGAAAATCTGTTGAAAATGAGCGAAATTAGCCCAAAATAGGGGAAAATGCAAGCGCGCTCCGCTGATCTTCTGGATGAAAAAGCGCGCGAAATTGAAATTTCAAATTTCAAAAGCGGTTTTGAACCCTTTTTGAGCTATTTTCGTCGATTTTCATCGATTTTTCCCTAAAATAAATGACTAAAACCTGAAAATTTTGATTTTTGAGCAAATTTTAAGCTAGAAATCCACCAAAATCGGCAATTTTTTCCAGGAAAAGCGCCAACTTCTCGACGAGCACAGTTTCGAAACGTTTCATTTGGTTGATGAGCTTCTGTTGGCCAACGATGTCTCCAGCCAAATCGATAGTGCAATTGAAGCCGAATCGGGGCTTTGGACGCTAGAACAAGTGCTCTGTTTGGCGCCAGAATTGGTGGGAAGTGGTAATTTTTGAATTCCCGCCTGGATTCTCCATAGAGCGCATTTGCAGGATGGCAACGTCACGCAATCGAGTCGCTGTTGAAAAAGGCGGTTTATCCGAAGAATTTGATGGCTGTGCGGAAAATTGCGATTCGACTGTTTTTGGTTTTTTATCAGTGTTTGGGGGTTTATGGAAAGGCGACGCCCGACTTGGATAGAGTTTTTCAGGTGGGAAATTGAAGATTTTATACTGGAAAATCTGGAAAAAACGAAATATTTTGAGTGAGAAAATTGGAAATTTGAATTTTTTCGAAATTCGAAAAAATCAAAAATTCCGAAAATTTCAAAAATTTCCAGAAAATCAGGAGTTCCGAAAAAATCAGAAATTCCAAAAATCCAGAAAATCAGAAATTCAGAAATTTCGAAAATTCTGAAATTCTAAAAACCCAAAAATCTGTAAATTCCGAAAATTCTGAAATTTCGAAAATTCTGAAATTCCAAAAATTCTAAAAATCCAAATTTGTAGAAAATTAGATATTCCAGAATTTCTGAAATTTAGAAATTCAGAAATTTCGAAAAATCCGAAAATCCTAAAATTCAGAAAATTCCGAATTTCGGAAATTCCGGAAATTCCAAAAAATCCAAAAATTTGTAAATTCCAAAAATCGAAAATTTTGAAATTCAGAAATTTTCAGATTTTCAGATTTCCAGCTTTTCTAGATTTTTACCTATAATTCAGAAAACTCCGAAAATTCGAAAATTTCTTAAAATCAGAAATCCCGAAAATCTGTAAATTCCCAAAATTTCAAAATTTCCAGAAATTCTAAAATTTCAAAGTTCTAAAAATTCTAGAAATTCCCAAAATTCAGAAATTCTGAAAATCAGAAAATCCCCAAAATTTATATTTTCAGTGTTTTTGAGTTTTTAGAAATTTCAGGTTTTCCAGTTTTCCAATTTTTTTTCTAAAATTCTAAATCCTAAAATTTCAAAAATCCCCAAAATAATTTCCTCTTGTTTTCCAGTGTCTCCTCCCATTCTTCCCTCTGAAATCCGGCGAAAACGCAGAAGACGTCCTCAATGAGTACTGTCAATCGTCGGGAACCGGTGATTGGGTGGAACGTCTTCGAAATGGACCCATCAAATCGACGGCGTCCCCTTCGCAGACGTCTAAGGAGCGTGCCCAGATGCTTCAAGTGTATTTGGACAAATTTCTGGAGTACTGTACTCGTGAGACAGTAAGAATCGAGTGGAATGATGAGGGAAAACGACAGGAATGCGCCAATTTTATCATTGATAAGTTAGTGGTTTTTTTTCTGGGAAAATCGGTCAAAATCGGTAAAAATCTGGCTTAGAAATCTGTTTAATAAAAGTATAGAAAAATCAAAATTTTCAAAAAAAAATTCGAAAATCCGAATTTCCGGAAAATTCGAAAAAGTGCAAAGTCGGGGAACTCAAAATTCAAACTTTCAAATATTTTTCGAAAATCTAAAAATTCCAAACTTTCCGAAAAAAACGAAAAATTGAAAAAATTAGAAAATTCAATAAATTCTGATTTTTTAAATTTATTGAATTTCGAATTTTCCCAATTTTTCGGTTTTTCAGAAATTTTCGTAATTTTCAGATTTTCGGAAAATATTGAAAAATTTGAATTTCTGAATTCCTGAAGTTCCTAAATTTCCGATTTTCAATTTTCTGAAAATTTTGATTTTTTGGAATTCCCAATTTTCTGAAAATTTAAAATCTCGGAATTGAAAAAAAAAATCTCAAAAATTCAGAATTTCCGATTTTTGTACTTATCTGAAATTTTCGATTTTTTGAAAATTTTGGTTTTTCAGAATTTTTGATTTTTCTGAGTTTTCGAATTTCCAAATTTTTTTAAATTTCGATTTTTCTGATTTCGCGATTTTCTGAATTTTATAACTTTTCCGAATCCCGGAATTTCTAGATTTCCGATTTTCAATTTTTTGAAAATTTTGGTTTTTTGGGATTTCCGCACTTTCGAATTTTCTAAAAAAGTCTCGAATTTTAAAATGTTTTGAATTTCCGAATTTCTGAATTTTCCAAAATTTCCAAATACTCTCCAGAGTCATCAAACTGTACATGGGCGAATGTTTCACGGAGCTCGAAACCAATGGAGTCGATGTATTCGGTGGATGGGAAGGAGCCGATGAGCAAGGAGAACCACTGGATACGGCTGATCCAGTGGTGATCGCGCGATATTGGTTGATCCGATGGATCAATAATATCGCATCGGCCACACATCAACCAGCTAATAATGTGCCACAATCGGCACAATCCTCGCTGATTCTATATCGAAATGCACTGTTTTCGTCGCATAAGGTGGGGAATTCGATGAAAAATAATCTAAAATGGTCCTAAATTTATGGAAAATGGACCAAAATTCGCGAAAAGTAGCTCAAAATTCATGAAAAACGACCTAAAATCGATGAAAAATGACCTAAAATTTAAGAAAAATGAACCGAAATCCGATTAAAATTGCTCAAATTTCATGAAAAATGGTCTAAAAATTCTTGAAAATTGACCAAAAAGACCAAATGGGTCCGAAATTTATGAAAAAAAAACCAAAAAATCATGAAAAATACTCAAAAATCTATAAAAAATGGTCCAAATTTCATGAAAAATGGCCTAAAGTTCATAAAAAATGACCAAAAATTTATGAAAAATTGCCTATAATTCATGAAAAATGGTCCAAATACATGAAAAATGGTCCAAAATTCCTGAAAAATGGTCCAAAATTCATGAATAATGGTCCAAAATTCATGAAAAATGTCCCAAAATTCATGAAAAATGGTCCAAAACTCATGACAAATAGTCCAAAATTCAAATTTTTGCAGGCCACCAACGTCGCTCTGACGCTAATGCGTGAAGCGATGAAACTTCCGCTAGCATGCTCGAATGTGACTCATAAAGTGGTCAACGTGCTCTCCGCCTGGCTTCTACAGTACGAAATTCCACCGTTCGTCGCGTCTGGAGAGGTCTCGATAGAGCGATGTTCACTTCTGCTGGCCAATATTCTACTCTCTTTCTTTCATAGTCCCTATCTGTCGCAGTGTGGGGAGAGGTAGGTCAAAAAACGAAAAAAAATCTGTGTAGTCCTCGTGGACAAGATTTTTGGAAAATTTGAAAATTTTTTAAAATTTTTTTTTTGAAAAACTTGGTTTTTCTCTCATAAAAAAGTTCACAAGTAGTAGAAAACTCGAAAATTCAGCATTTTTGACTCTAACCCCTCCTGAAGTTTTTGCAGACACTCCTCGGCGATTTCCATCGCTTTCGCCATCCTAACCTCTTGCAAACAGCTGGTCTCTCATCGAATTCAACTCCCGAAACCGCTTCCCCAGAAATTTTGGTCCGAATTGATGGCCGGTCTGTGCGCGGTCGCCTCGAAGATCTGCCATCAATCGGACGTCTTCTCACAGCACGTCTCCGCCGCATTCACCTCTACATTGATTTCCAATGTGGTTATTATCAAGGTACTTAATTAGCAATTATCTAGATTCCCGTAAGAGATATCAAAAATCTGTCAACAGTTAAAATGTTGCTGATAACATGATGAACATTTTATCAGTTGACAAAATTTCAATATCTCCTACAGTAACCCAGATAATCAAACACAAAGCTTCCAGGCCGTGCGCCGCATCGAAATCGACGATGACGTTTGGGATGAGGTGCATGAGGTGATGAAACGAGGCGTCTGGATACCGATGGCTGAGCAATGGGCGGCGGTTAGTAATTTTTCTAGGTCATGACCTAGTTTCTTCTAGGTCACGAACTAGTTTTTTTCTAGGTCACGATCTAAATTTTCATGACCTAAAAAGGTCATGGCCTAATTTTTCATGACCTAAAAAGGTCATGGCCTAAATTTTCATGACCTAGTTTTTTCTAGGTCATGACCTAAATTTTCATGACCTTATTTTTTTCAGGCCATGACCCAATTTTCTAGGTCATGACCTAATTTTTTCTAGGTGATGACCTAATTTTTTCAGGCCATGACCCAATTTTCTAGGTCATGACCCAGATTTTTCTAGGTCATGACCTAAATTTTCATGACCTAATTTTCCATGACCTAAAAATTCATCCGGCTGCTAATCCGTTTTATCTGTAAAAATTTGAACAATTTTGGTCCAGTCCAGACTTCGCCAGGGTCGGCGACCCGGGAACCAACGGACACACACACACACACAAATTTTCATGACCTAAAAAGGTCACGACCTAATTTTTTCTAGTTCATGACCTAATTTTCATAACCTAAATTTTCATGGCCTAAAAAATTTCACGACCTAAGTTTTTCGTAGGTCACGACCTAAATTTTTCGTAGGTCACGATCTAATTTTTCAAAACCTAAAAAGGTCATGACCTAATTTTTTCTAGGTCATGACCCAGATTTTTCTAGGTCATGGCATAGATTTTTCGGCTATTTCCGGTAAGAACGGTCCCAAAACGGGACCGCCGGTCCCAACAGCGGACCACCGGTCCCGAAAATTGGGACAACGGTCCCATTGTTTCGACAACGGTCCTAACGGTCCGAGAACGGTCCCAATGTCCCAAGAACGGTCCCAACGCTCCGACAAAGGTCCCAATCAGGATTGCTCGATAAACCCTACTCTCAAATTTTCGAATTCAGTGCCATTTTGCGAAACGGCGGGGAGCTTCGAGAAAATTAGGTGACAAGAAAATTTAGTGCTAGCTTAACCTGTTGATTTTGCATTGAAAGC